AAGGGTTTCTCTTGGAAGATGCCTTACAGGATACTTGACTAATACACACTTCCTAGCGCTTGTAACTCTTTCCAGATAGTCGTTCGGCAGGGAATGAACATACATTTTAGATCAGCTCTTCAATGCGAGTCCGATGATAAATATCTTGTTCGGAATGGCTGGGTTAAGTTCTGACCACTCCCTTATCAGCGCTTTCATGCCTAAGATATAAGTCCTTTTCATTCACGAGGTGATGCTTTACATATAAATGAAAACGAGGCATTACGCAGGCTTTCGGATTCGAAGAACATAATGCATGTAAAAAACAAAAGGCATGCTTCGAAACTTGGTACAGATGCCGGTTTCAAAGATAATGAAAGCGTTTGAAATCAAGATTAGTGCGCAACAAATTTTTGGAAGCTCTGAGAAAAACTAAATGTTATTTACGGCTACACCACTAGGTAAATTGCAAATACTCGAAAAAGTCAACATACCTTTGCCCCAAATGAGCAGTTTTTCGTCAAGCACGTACTGGTCATCCTTGATGGTCCTTCTCTCCCCCGACTTTACCACCTTCAACGTAGCGTGCACCTTTCCACGAAGCAGCACTCGGATTCCTATAACCATCACTTTACTAGGAATCGTCGACTGATGACGGCTGCATGTGATGCCTTGCAAACACGAACCGAACCGATTATGGGCTCTCTGGCGCATTATTGGGCTTCGGCAGAGAGCAAAGAGGCCGAAAGTCAAGCACAAACCTTTTATCTTGATGTTTTCGATGTTCTCAAGCAAAACGCTGCCGCTGATCTTCTCGCCGGCATAGTAAATCTCTTTGGCTAAGCGAATGTCGAAACTTGAGATGTAGTCCATGACGGGAAGGGTCGAGAGCCGCCCTTCGCGTGCTCAAGCAATCACTGAAAAATCAAGTTTTCAGTCGAGAAACATGACGCTCGAACATTACGACATTAAGCAAACAATGGCCGCTTCCTTGCTCGAATTGGGCGGATCGATAGGAAAATGAAAAAAGGAATTATGGGTAGTCAAATCGGAAAATGCTCTCTTGCTCTAGCGCTATGAATACGTAAGAACACGGCAACAAAACTTGGGTGGAAAGAGGATAATATTGGGTTGGAACATAAGTCCTGCACCAAAATTTGAAGTCCTGACTGGTACGATGAGTCCGTTGGAAAAGTTAGAAAAATAGTTCAAAGAAAAAAATTTACACTTTCTAAATATTCTCAAAGTAAGAGTCAGCCTAGTTATATCGCGGTGATAGAAGCTCTTGAAGACAAATTTCAAACTGCGTTTTTTTGGCTTTCAATCTCCTGAAATGGAAAGACCCAGGAACTTCTGTTACTTTTTGCTTGGGTTTTATAATTTAGCTTTTCGACTGAACTATATTTGTGCTAATAGGGCAAATTACAAGACGAGGTTGTTATTTGCAAACTTTTTTTGTCATTTGTTGTTATACCTACTCAAATCCAGTAAATTGCATGAACTGTTTAGAATGGATAAACACGATACAGATCGAAAAGTTGCTCTGAGCATTTCTAAATAACTTTATTTTGAAATTTTTGGTGCAAGACTTCGGTTCGACCTAGCAGACGACGAAGCTTTTCTTGTGTCTCGCATTACCCAAATTCTCACTTTTTGGACTTGCATATATTTTTCTGTGCTGATATTCTTTGATAAAGAATTTACCAAAAGTAATCCCTTTTTATTCTGTTCCAGAGCTGAATAGCAAAGTAAACTTTTTGACACCCTTTTT